CGTAGAATGTGTTAGGAAGTGTTCCATCCTCCCTAATTTTTTGGAATAGCTTGAAAAGGATAGGTATTAAATCCTCTCTGAAAGTTTGGTAAAATTCCCCAGGAAAGCCATCTGGTCCTGGGGATTTATTCTTTGGGATGCTTTTGATGGCTGTTTCAATCTCTTTCCTTGTGATTGGCCTGTTCAAATTGTTTGCTTCTTCTTGAATGAGCTTTGGGAGATTGTAGGAGTCCAAGAATTTATCCATTTCCTCTAGGTTATCCATTTTGTTGGCATATAATTTTTCGTAGTATTCTCTTATAATCCATAGTACTTCTGTGGAGTCTGTTGTTATTTCTCCTCTTTCATTTCTGATTTTGTTTACTTGAGCTTTCTCTCTTTTTTTCTTTGTAAGTCTGGCTAGGGGTTTGTCAATTTTGTTTATCTTCTCAAAGAACCAGCTCTTTGTTTCATTGATCCTTTCTACTGCCTTTTTGTTTCAATAGCATTTATTTCTGCTCTGATTTTTATTATTTCTCTCCTTCTGCTGACTTTGGGCTTTGTTCTTCTTTCTCTAATTTGGTTAGGTGTAGTTTAAGACTTCTTATTTGGGATTTTTCTTGTTTGTTAAGATGTGTCTGTATTGCGATGAATTTTCCTCTTAATACGGCTTTTGCTGTATCCCATATGAGTTGGTATGGCATGTTGTCATTTTCATTTGTCTCCAGGTATTTTTTTATTTCTTTAATTTCTTCAGTGATCCATTGCTTGTTCAGTAGTGTATTGTTTAGTCTCCACATCCTTGTGCCTTTCTCAGCTTTTTTCTTGTAATTAATTTCTAGCTTTACAGCATTATGATCAGAGAAGATGCTTGTTACTATTTCAATTTTTTTAGATTTGTAGAGGCTCTCCTTGTTTCCCAACATATGGTCTATCCTTGAGAATGTTCCATGCACACTTGAGAAGAATGTGTATTCTGCTGTTTTTGGATGAAGTGTTCTATATATGTCTATTAAGTCCAATTGTTTTAGTTTTTCATTTAGCTCCACTATTTCCTTGTTGATTTTCTGTCTGGATGATCTGTCCATTGGTGTGAGTGGGGTGTTGAGGTCCCCTACTATTATTGTGTTGTTTTTAACATCTTCCTTTAGGTCTGTTAATAGTTGCTTTATGAATCTTGGTGCTCCTGTGTTGGGTGCATAGATATTTATAAGCGTTATTTCTTCTTGATGAAGTGTCCCTTTGATCATTATATATTGTCCCTCTGTGTCTCTCTTTACCTGTCTTATTTTGAAATCCACTTGGTCTGATATGAGAATTGCAACACCTGCCTTTTTTTCCTTGCTCTTTGCTTGGAGTATTGTCCTCCACCCCTTCACCCTGAGTCTGTGTTTGTCCTTGGGGCTGAGGTGTGTTTCCTGGAGGCAACAAATTGTTGGATCGTGTTCTTTAATACATTTTGCCACTCTGTGTCTTTTTATTGGAGAGTTCAATCCATTCACATTGGGAGTGGTTATTGATGCATGTGGACTTAGTGCTGTTAATCTGTCGCTCATTATCTTGTTTTCCTGCGTTTCTTTTCCTGTTTGCTTTAGACTACCCATTTAATACTGCAGTTTCTTATGCTGGGTTTCTTAGATTTTTCCTTACTTATGATTTGTGACTCTGTTCTGTACTTTATTTTAGTGTCTACCTTGAAGTTTGTATTTAGAATCTCATGTATAATATAGTCTATTCTCTGGTGGTCTCTTACTTACTTGACCAATACTGATTTAGACCCTTTGCTCTTCCCCTCCTAAATAATTATTTTCATTTTTTATTTCAACTCATCTTATTAATTGGTAGTTAGAGTGCTAAGATCGTGCTTGTTTTGGTAGTTTCCTTACCTTTACCCTAATGCTATAATTGAATATTTGCTATCCTGTTCTGGTTCTATCCATTGGTCTCCCTAGTCTGTGGATTGTGTCCCCTTTCTCCCTTTTTTCTTTTTTCAGGTATGAGAGCCTTCTTGAGGATTTCTTGTAGTGGAGGGCTTTTAGTTCCAAATTCCCTTAACTTTTGTTTGTCTGGAAAAGATTTCATTTCTCCCTCATATCTGAAGGAAATTCTTGCTGGATAGAGTATTCTTGGCTGAAGATTTTTATCCTTTAAAGCTTTGAATATGTCACTCCATTCTCTCCTAGCTTGTAGGGTTTCTGTAGAGAAATCCACTGACAGTTTGATAGGGGCTCCTTTATAGGTTATTCTCTTTTTTTTCCTTACTTCCCTGAGTATTCTTTCCTTATCATTCCTTTTTGCCAACTTTACTACTATGTGCCTTGGGGTTGCTCTTTTTACATTGACAAATCTAGGAGATCTAAAACCCTCCTCTACACACATTTCTCCGTCGATCCCTAGATTTGGGAAGTTCTCTTCAATAATTTCATTAAGCACACTTTCTGCCCCATTTTCCTTTTCCATATTCTCGGGAATTCCTATGATCCTTATGTGCTTAATCCTCATTGAATCCATTATCTCTCGGAGATTTTCCTCATTTTTTTTAATTCTTAGTTCTCTTTCTTCCTCTGTCTGGTGCCATTCAGCTTGTCCATCCTCAATTATGCTAATTTTCTCCTCTATGTTGTCTACACGGGCATTCAGGGAATCCGTATTCTGTTTTATCTGGTCCATTGTGTTTTTCATCTCAAGTAATTCTGTTTGATTTTTCTTTATGATTTCAATCTCTTTTGTGAAGTAACTGCAGAACTCGGCTTGTTTCTCTATCTTTCTCTCTACCTCATTGAGTTTTTTGATTATAGCTGCTCTGAACTCATTATCACTTAGTTTACCTAATTCGAAGTCCTCAGGACTTAATTCTATGTTTTTATTGTTTTCCTTCTGGTCTGGGGCTTTTATAAATTGCTGGATGGTAGAGGAGCGGTTTTTTCGCATGGTGGTAGAATTCGGTTGCAGTTACAGCCTGTCGCCACGAGATGGGGATCGAGAGCCACGTGTTATGAGCTCTCCGCCTTGGGGCAAGATGGCTGTGCCCACTGGCTTTGCCGGGGAAGAGGGGCTGTTACTCACACGCGCCGGTCTGGGTTCAGATCAGTTCTGTTCTCTAGTCTCCCAAGGCCCTTAATTTATGGTGTCCCCACAGACGGAAGCTTTCCCCCTGTCAGCGGGTCTCCACTGAACCAGCAGCAGGAGTCCTGGATGACCCTCCCCCCGCCCCCCGTCACATGGCCCCTCCCCCGCTCCTTCCCGACCGCCACCGCAGCAATCGCAGACTCTAGGGGAGGGAGCGATGTTCTCTCCTACTGTTCCAGCGCCTCCGAGGGTGTGAGCAAAGTTTATGATCTCCGCCTTCTTGGTATTATAGGTCTCTAACGAGCTGGCATTATGTTTATTCTCTGAAATTCAGTTCTTTCAATCTTTTGTTGTATTTTGGAGGGGAGAGAATCCCAGGTCAGCTCACCCTGCCATTTTGCTCCTCCCCTCTCTCCAATACTATGTTGAATAAAAGTGGTGTGACTGGGCATCCTTGTCTTCTTCCTAATCTTAGAGCATAAACTTCACCTTTTCACAATTGAGTATGATGTTAGCTGTGGGCTTGTCACATATGGCCTTTATTATGTTGAGATACATTCCCTCTATACTTCCTTTGTTTGAGAGTTTTTATCATAAATAGATATTGAATTTTGTCAAATGCTTTTTCTGCATCTACTGAGATGATCATATGATTTTGAACAGTTTGTTAATGTGGTTGATCACATTGGTTGATTTGCAGATGTTGAATCACCCTTCCATCCCTGGAATAAATCCCACTTGATCATAGTGTATGATCCCTTAAAATATTGTTTAATTTGGTTTCCTAAGTTTTTATTGAGGATTTTTGCATCTATGTTCTTGAAGGATATTGGCTTGTAATTTTCTTGTAGGGTGGTTGTCTGGGTATCAGGGTAATGCTGGCTTCATAAATTGAGTTTGGAAGTGTTCCCTCCTCTTCTTTTTTTTGAGGAATTTGAGGTTTCGTAGTAATTCTTCTTTAAATATTTGGTGAAATTCACCAGTGAAACCATCTGGTCCTGACTTTGATTCATTGGGAGGTTTGAGAGTTTTATTTTTATTTTTGTATGTGAAAGCAGATCCCTTGTATCCCACTGTATTCTGGGGAAATTGCCTTAAGAATTCCCAGAGTATTTAATGAAAACTGCAGTTGCCAATAATCTGTAGTGTGGGTGGAAAAGATCCCACAGTTACAAGTGTTACTTTGTTGCATGTGTATGTCTTTGTTTCTGCCCATGACTTGGAACTCCAAAAATGTATATTGATCCCATATTAGTGTTTACAATTAGGGTTTATGACTGTAAGATATTATTACATCTAAAAATTCCTGTTTTGATGTAGAATAATGACTGTCAAAAAGTGAAGATGGATGAGGGTAAATTTTATATGTTGGGTGTATTTTACCCCAATAAAAAAAATTGGGGAAGAATGTAAAAATGGTTCACAGAAAGGAATTTTAAAAGGCTCCAAAATGGTTAAAGAGTTTCTTTTTTTGATTCCATCCATTTAATTACTGATGATGAAAATGAAGTCTTAAGTTTCTTAGCTGAAAATGGGGTTACCACTACCTATCTCTTAGTTTTGTCAACAAGATTGAATCAAAAGGAATAAAAACAAATATAGAGACATACCATAACACCACAGACATAGCAGGCAGTGAATACACAGCAGCTGCTGTTAAAATTCAGAGAACTCAAGTGCCTTCCTTGAGGTCCCACAGCCAGTCTGTGTCAGAGTCCAGCCCAGAATCCAGATCTTTGACCCTGAGTCTCTTCAACTCTTACCATGCAAGTCTGGCCACTAGGCACAGGCATGAATCCTTTGTGCAGGCAGTGAATTTTCTGAAACTTTATATAAACTGTTCTTTCCTTTGGTCTTTGTTCTATAGCTAAAGAATTAAGTATGAATACTCCTTCTGAAGGGAATGCAAATAGTTTGAAAGTCCTTCAAAATCTTTTTTTCCTCCTTTTCAGAGTCTAGATGTCATTCAGAATTTGAAAATACTACCCATTCTGTCTTCAGATCAGCCAAGTTTTACTTTCATCATCCAGTGCACCCACCAAGTGATCAAGATTTTTGCCATGATTCGTTAGGAAGGAGTATTTTCATGAAGCATTCCTGGAAAAATTTCTTTCAGCATCATCCAGACAAACAAAGAGAATACATTTGTCTTCCTCCTCATCATCAAAATGTAGAAAAGACAAAGATGGATTATACCAAAATAGAGAGCCTCAGTATCAATGTAAACTTGGAAAACAAAGAAGCAATGCATACTTCTAAAATTGAGGCTAAAGAATATCCAAAGTTTGACAAACAAATTAATGATCCAAAAAGAGATCATAAGGTGACCGCAGAGCTAACAACTCAGCACACTGTGAGTTTGAATGAACTGTGGAACAAGTATCAGGAGCGACAGAGGCAACAGAAACCTCCTGAGTTCACTGGCAAGAAAGAACTATCCTTGGTGGAGCGACTTGATCGTTTGGCTAAACTTCTTCAGAATCCCATCACACATTCTCTCCGGCCCTCAGAAAGTACACAGGATGATAGCAGAGTGGAACGAGATGTTAAGGAATGGAGTGGTACACAGCAACAGCAGAAAAACAAGCTTCAGAAAAAGAAATGGTATAAAAGCCTAGAAAAGTGCAATAAAAACACAGGAGATCTTAAAAAAGGTAAAGTGCTTTCCACCCATCAAGCTAGGAGGTCCAATCAGATTAAAATTGAACAGATTAAATTTGATAAATATATTCTGAGACAACAACCAGGTTTTTACTATGTGAACAACACTTCTTCAGATTCTAGAGTCTCAGAGGAGAGTGAGATGCTCACAGAATCTGCTACCAACATCCTCTCCACCACCACTTCTCCTGCGGAATCAGACACATTGACCCAAACAGATAAAGAAGTGACTTTGCATGACAGGAGCAGCTCTATTTCTACTATTGACACTGCTCGATTGATCAAAGCTTTTGGCCATGAAAGAGTTTGTTTGTCACCCAGGCGAATTAAATTATACAGCAGCATCACCGACCATCAGAGGAGATACCTTGAGAAGCGAAGTAGGAAGAACAAGAAAGTTTTGGATACATGTCGTCCTCAAATAACTTCTGAGCACACCAGAAGGAAACACATCCAGGTACATGGCTACAGATTCCATCTGGCAATGTGACTGCCTTTTTTGTGGACTTTCTCATTAAGCTTTACACACAGGTGAAAAAAAGCCAATTGCCCTTTCCTCGCTATAACATTTCTTACCAACTGGAAAAGAGTGAGAAAGTGTAGTACAGTGCTGTTGTGAGTTGTCATTCTTTTCATCACCACCCATTACGAATTACCCTTTGGATAAAGGGCTTTCCTGCTAAATTCTTCAGAATCTACAAAGTAGACCCCTGGCATAGGGGAGCTTCAAGTTTAGAATGACCTCCATTCTAAACAACGTTGCCTGGTTGTTTTTTTTTAATTTGTTTGTTTGGTTTTTGTTTGTTTACTCCTATCTTCCAAGAAATTTTGAGGTGCTTTTAAGCACATACAACACATACACATATATACATACACACATATATAAGTGATATAGTATGATCTTTTTTAAGTAAATGAAGAATTGGAATGATGGAAAATTAAGTTGAAGCCAGGGAGGGGTGAGCTTCAACATGATTTTAAAAAATAAATAATGAAGAATTGTGAGTGATGGGAAAACAAGTTGAAGCCAGAGGGGAGGTTAATAAACCTTGTGGATATAGTTGCTAAAAGTGAGTCACAAATTTCTCTTTATGTTTTCTAGCACTTAGTGTTGCTAGAATTTTGTGATCAATTACGTGAGTCTATAATATAAAAACAAATTTGCAAAAGCATTAAGCTATTTCTGGTACTGAGACCTAAGAGGAATTTCTCTCATCCATCCTCAGAAAGAAGGCAGCACAGTGTGACAGAGCCCTCAACCACGTCCTTACACTCATATGGCTGCTATGGCCTTAGTTTATGGAGTTCAGTAAAGGTGGATCTCGAGGGGCAAACAGATGCAGACCAGTACTTTAAACCAAGAATAAAATTTGGGGTGTCTAGAAAAGTGTTCTCCAAAGAGGGATACTTCCACAATAGTTCATTGGAGTATAGAAAGAAAAATATTAGATTTATGTTCATTTCTCTCAACCTTTTATAATTTATATTTTTGTATATCTCTTATAATAGTACAGTATTAATATATAGTTTATAAGTAAATACCTACTTTGGTAATTTGTGTTCAAAAATATTTCATCAATAGAACCACATGATCAAGAAATTTGGAGACCACTAGTCTAGAAAGGAGGCACAAGACATTCAGACAATTTACTATATATATTAATTCTAATAATAATAATAATTTTATAGTAATAATTCTATAATGTTAATAATACCATAAATAATAATTGAGATTTTGGTAGGTATTAAATGACAGTGGCAGTGGTTGCATATATAAATAGTACAGTATGACTTCTTTTTGAAGTGAAGAATTAGAAATGGCACAAACTAAGGCTTTTGTTCCATAGAGGAGATAGGGGGAAAGGATCCAGGCAGCGGGTTTTTTGTATGTGTGGTAAAATACATACACATAATATAAAGTTTACAGTTTTAACATGTACAACTCAGTAGCACTGAATACATTCACAATGTTTTACAACAATCACCACTATCTAGTTTCAGAACTTTTTCATCACCCCTGTGGAAACCTCATATCCATTAACCAGTCACTCTGTTCCTCCTTCCCACCAGCCCCTGACAAACACGAATCTACTTTCTGTCTCTGTGAATGTACCTGTTCTGGTTATTTCATATAAATAGAATCATACAATATGTGATTGTATGATTGTGTCAGACTTCTTTCACTTTAGCATAATATTTTTAAGGTTCATCCATATTCTAGCATGTATCAATACTTCATTTCTTTTTATGGCTGAATAATATTCCCTTGCATATATAGACTACATTTTATTTATCCACGCATCCATTCATGGACATTTGGGGTATTTCCACCTTTTGGCTGTTGTGTATAGAACTGATATGAACATTTGTGTGCAAGTTTTTATTTGAACACCTGTATAGAGTTCTTTTGGGTATTTACGTAGGAGTGGAAATACTGAGTCATATGAGGATTCTGGGTTTAGCTTAGTGAGGAACTGCCAAGGTGTTTCCCACAGTGGCTGCACCATTTTACATTCCCACCAGCAAATGTCTGAGAGTTCCGATTTCTCTGCATTCACCACCACTTTTTACTTGCCCTTTTCTTTTTTTTTTTTTTGTCATCCTAAGGGGTATGAAAAGGTATCTCATACTCATTGTCATTTTGATTTGTCCTTCCCTTTCCCTAACAATGTTAAGCATCTTTTCATGTGCTTGTCAGCCATTTGTATATCTTCTTTGGACACATGTATATCCTAGTCTTCGTCCACTTTTTAATTAAGTTGTTTGTCTTTGTGTTTTTGAGTTGCAAGAGTTCTTTATATCTTCTGGATTGTAGGTCCTTATCAGATGTATAGTTTGCAAATTTTTGCTCCCACTCTCTGGGTTGTCTTTTCACTTACTAATTAATGCCCTTTGATGCACAACAGTTTACTTTTGTTGAAGTCTCAGTGTACCTATTTTTTCTTTTCTTGTCTATGCTTTTGGTGTCATATCTAGAAAACCATTGCCAAATCCAAAGTTATGAAGATTTGTCCCTATATTTTCTTTTAATAATTTTATACTTTTAGCTCTTTCATTTGCATCTTTGACATGTATTGAGTTAATTTTAGTATATGGTATAAGGTAAGAGTCACACATCAGTCTTTTCCACATGGACATTCAATTGTCTGAACACCAGTTGTTGAAAAGACTCTTCTTTCCCATTGAATGGTTTTGGCACCCTTGTCAAAAATCAGTTGACTGTAGATATGAGGGCCTGTTTCTTGGCTCTCAATTCTATTCCTTTGTTCTACCTGTCTATCTGTATGCCACTACTACACTGTTTGACTACTGTACCTTTGTACTAAGTTTTAAAATTGAGAAATGTGTCTCTTCCAACTTTGTTCTTTTTTAAACCTGTTTTGGCTATTCAGGTCCCTTATGTCTCCATATGAATTTTAGGATCAGCTTTTCCATTTCTGCCAAAAAAGTTGTTGGGATTTTGATGTTAATTGCATTAAATCTGTAGGTCACTTTGGGGTTTATTGCCATTACAATATTAACTCTTCCAACCCATGAATACAGGGTGTCTTTCAATTTATTTAGGTCTTTAATTTCTTCCAGCAATGTTTTGTGGTTTTCAGCGTACAAGTCTTATACCTTCTTGGTTGAATGTATTCCTAAGATTCTCTTGTTTTCTTTTTTTATTATTTTTAATTTTTGTAAAATACGTATAACAAAATTTACTATCTCAACCATTTTTAAGTGTACAGTTTAGTGGTATTAAGTGCATTCATATTATTATGTGAACATCACAATCATCCATTTCTAGAACTCTCTTCATCTTGCAAAACTGAAACTCTGTATCCACTCAAACAACAACTTCCCACTCCACTTATGCTCCTGGCAACCACGATTCTACGTTCTGTCTCTATGAATTTGACTGCTCTGGGTACCTTATATAAGTGGAATCACACAGTATTTATCTTTTAGTAACAGACTTATTTCACCTAGCTTAGTTGTTGTCAAGGTTCATCTATGTTGTAGCATGTAAAAGTATTTTCTTCCTTTTTAAAGCTGAATGGTATTCCATTGTATGTAGATACCACATTTTGCTTATCCCTTTATCCATCAATGGACACTTGAGTCACTTCCACCTTTTGACTATTGTGAATAATGCTGCTGTGAATATGGGTGTACAAATATCTGTTCAAGACCCTGCTTTCAATTTGGGGGAGTATATATCTAGAAGTGGAATGACTAGATCATATGGTAATTCTATTTTTAGTTATTTGAGGGAACCACCATACTGTTTTCTACAGCAGCTGCACCATTGTACAGTCTCACCAACAGTGCACCAGGGTTCTAATTTGTTCACATCCTTGCCAACACATGTTATTTTCTGTTCCTTTTTTATAGTAGCCATCCTAATGGGTGTGAAATGGTAGCTCATTGTGGTTTTAGTTTGCAGTTCCCTGGTGATTTGTAATGTTGAGCATCTTTATGTGCTTATTAGTTATTTGTATATCATCTTTAGAGAAATATCTATTCAAGTCCTTTGCTTGTTTTTTAATTGGGTGGTTTTTTGTTGTTGAGTTACAAGAGTTATTTATGTATTCTAGATATTAACCTCTTATCAGATATATAATTTGCAAATATTCTCTCTCATTCCATGGGTTGCCTTTTTACTCTGTTGATTGTGTCCTTGGATGCATAGATGTTTTTAATTTAGATGAAATCCAATTTGTCTATTTTTGCTTTTTTTGCCTGTGCTTTTGGTGTCATATCCAGGAAATCCTTGCTAAATCAAATGTTATTAAGGTTTTCTCTTGTTTTCTTCAGAGCTTTATGGTTTTAGGTCTTACGCTTAGGGGTTTAATCCATTTTGAGGTAATTTTTGTATATTGTGCAAGATAAGGCTTGAACTTCATTCTTTTGCATGTAGGTATCTAGTTGTCCCAGCACCATTTGTTGAAAAAATACCTGTCTTTTCCCCCATTGAATCATTTGGCACCCTTGTCAAAAATCATTTGACCATAGATATATGAGAGTTTATTTCTGGGCTTGCTCTTCTGTTCCATTGGTCTATATGTCTGTCTTCATGCCAGTACCACACTGTTTTGGTTTATCGCATCTTAGTAATAAAATTTGAAATCAGGAAATGTAAGACCTCCAATTTTATTCTTCTTTTTCAAGACTGTTTTGGCTATTTGGGGTCCCTTGAGATTCCGTATGAATTTTAGTAAATATATTTTCTTTTTGTTGCTATTTTAAGCGCAATTGTTTTCTTAATTTCATTTTTCACTGTTCCTTGCTAGTGTATAGATACACAACTGATTTTTGCATGCTGGTCTTGTATCCTATAACCTTACTCAATTCATTTATTAACTCTAACAGTTTTCTTGTGGATTCTTTAGGATTTTCTACATATAAAATCATGTCATCTGTGAATAGAGGTACTCTTAATTTCTCCCTTCCAATTTGCATGCCATTTATTTT